TGGTTTGTTCCTTAGAGGTGCTATTGTTCGTTTTAGACAGCAAGGTCATCTTTAGCAATGTGTGTTCAGTTCCAGGTTTGAAGGGGTGAGTCTGGGGGTGAGTGGGTGGGTTGGAGATACACCAGATTTAATCAGGCCAATAAATCTGGTCTTTTTATGATTGTGACTTTTGTTCTGTATTTTCCAGTCCTGTGATTGTGATCCTGACCAGTGTGGTTGATAGTGGTAGCAGGGTACCAACTAGTTCTGGTTCTGAGCTAGTGGAGGCTCTGTGGTATGTGGTTCCATGAGCGTTTGATTTTCTTCACCCTTTTCTGATCTAGGGAAGAGACCAGTAATAGTATCTTCATCACTTGCAAGCTTTTAAGAACCCAGCCACTACTAACCGAAGTGGAGTTACTGGATCAAAGGGTAATTCTATGATCAATTTTTGGAGGAACTGCCAAACTTTTCCCAAGTAGCTGTACAATTTTACATACAGTAGTGGAGGTTCTCGTTTCTCTATAACCTTGTCAACACTTGTCTTCTATTTTTTGTTTTTCTTTTTATTATTGCTGTTCTAATGGAGTGAGGTGATAGGTCATTGTAGTTTTGATTAACAGCTCTCTGTAAGATTACTAAGAAGTCCTGGTGGGGCTGTTGGTTGAACACTGGGTTGTTACCTCAAAAATATGATTTTTAAGGAATCAGATTTCTGTAGCAACCATGTATTCGAATTACCGACCTTTCAGGTAGCTGTCAGGTGCTTAACCACTGTGCTACCAGAGCTTCAGATAAAAGGGCTGCTATTTACAGAAGATTCATAGTATCCCAGATGCGTGTGTTTATCATGGTTGTGTGGGTTGAATGTGGGATTTCTTACTTGAGGTGTCTGGCAGTAGCGATCAGCTACAGATGAGGACTGAATCTTCTGAGGACTGCAGCGGCCTTTCACAATAGTCCCTTCACTTACAAAGTCTCATTCTGGTCCAGGGTAGCTGAAACAACTGATATGTGTGAGCATCTCTCTTTCCCTCCATTTCCCATTTTCTCTCTTCCTTTCTTTATCTGTGGTGAAGTGGACGTAAGTATTTTCAAAGTAAATGTAAAATAAGATTATGGCTCTTCCATCCATTTTTCTCTTAACTCTCATCAAATAAATGATTGGATAAGCAAACAGTTTTTGTTTATTTTGTTTGATTATTGTCTAGGGGGTTTTGTTGTTGTTTATTTTGTGTGATAATTTCAAATTCTCTTGGGTCACCTATTTTTGGGAATGGCACATTTCAGTCAGTTGGCCAGAAAGCTGTCTTACAAATTCCTCATCTCACTCTAGCTCACTGCCATCGAGTCCATGAATAGCGACCCCCTGTAGGTTCCCAAGACTGTAACTGTTTATGATGTAGAAAGCCCAGTTTTTCTGACTCCAGGCTGCTGGTGGTTTCGAACTACTGACCATGCGGATTGCAGCCCAATGCGTCACCACTGCGCCACCAGGACTCCTATAACATGCTTCTGAAGTGGTTCTCTTATTCCTTGAGTAATGGGAAAACTGACCTCTGGTAGTACTTAGTATTTCAGACACCTTATTTGTATGGTTGGCTTGCATGATTGGATAAGACCATTCAAAGACCATTCAAGTGTGCGAAATACTAAGAGGCCAGTTGGGCCATTACTCAAGGAATAAGAGCCATTTAAGAAGCAGGAAGAGAGATGCCCGTGACTGTCAAGAAAGAAAAGCCACAGTGACTCACTCCCTGGATCCCTATCTGATGTAGTGGAGTCAGCACAGGAGCCACAGAGAGAGGAGAGGGGCAGTGCCTCGGAGACCATGAAGCAGTGAACCAGAAGGATGGGCTCCCTGGCAGAAGCCATGAAGGCAGAAGCCGTGAAGGCAGAAGCCAAGGCCAAGTGATTGAGAGGCTGGGACCTAGCGAGAGATATGCCTATTCGCTGAGAACAAGTGCTACTGAAGTGCTACTGATATTCACATGGGTAGATGAATCATTTTTTACTATTCATAGCTTTCTGTACTTGCCAGATTTTAAACAGTTCCCACTGTGAGTTGATTTTTTCTGAGACTATCAGGTTGTAAGGAAATTCAAGAAATCAAGTATAAAAGAAGTTGCCTGGAGCAAGAGGGGAAGGAGAGCCTTAATGTTTCATTTATTTATTGTATCTTGATTTGCAGTAGCCGGTTAACTTCCCTAATAAACAATCGTAATTGTATTACTGGAGAGTTCTGTGTGACCATTGCAATGGATTATCAAACCCAGATAAAGCAAAGAAGTAGAGTGCCCTGGGAGAAACGGTGTCAGAGTAGGGGAAAAAGAGGCTGCAGGCTGGAGGCATGTCCGATCTCTCGCTGTTGGTCTTGGGCTGCTGTAGAGCTGGGTTCTTTTTCCTACTGAATCAAGAATGGTCAGATGTGACCTCCTGCTATTTCCTCACTGTCAGTATCTCTTCTCCTTTTCAGTACTTTGAAACATATTCTCCAAGAAATTATATACACACATCCATATATATGTAATACATAATAAAATAAGCATCATGTACCAACTATTCTAAAAAATATATATATCTAAAATATTTAAAAACTTTTTTTTTTTTGCTGCAAAAGGAAGCTTCATTGTTTCCATGTGGACCCCGGCTTGGGGGATGAGCTCCAGGGCGGTGTCCCTTTGGCTGGCAGGGGGCAGGTTCAGGCAGAGGGGCTATGGCCGACGGGGAGGCAGAGGACCCCTCACAGGTGACTGGGCACTGAAGGTTCCTAGGATCAGCCTCTGGAAGAGATAATCGCCCAGCCGGCCTGGGGGCCGGCCAGCCTGCGGAGGTTGGTCAGGTGGTCGCCCATCTTCTTGAGGAGTTTCACGTCCTTGTCCAGGAAGTGGGTCTCCAGGAAGTCACCGAGATGGGGGTCAGCGTGAGTGGACCCCACGGCGCGCAGGTCCAGAAGGGCCTGGTTGAGTGTTTTCTCCAGGGCTAGGGCAGCTTCCATGGCGTCCAGGTTCTACCACACTCATCTTGGGGGACTTCTGTGCATCCTGGGAGAGGGCGGGCCGCCGCGCTGGTGCTGCAGCTTCCAGAGATACTGGGCCCATCGTGCTTCTCCTTCGCCAGCTCGTGGATAAAGTGTGCCCCACGCCCGTCAAGGCCACATCATCGCGGTCCAGAAAGAAACCCAGAGAGAAGCGGGTGTCAGAGGCCCGCAGGTGCAGGTTGACCAGACGGTGGACACCGGCCTCGGCGTCGGCGGAATCATTCTGACGGATCTGAGAGCTCACGATGCGTCGGTTTGGAGGTCGCCACACACCAAATAAAAGTGTTCCCTGGTCCCAAGAAGAGGGCCTGACCAAGAAGATGCTCCCGAAGTTACTTCCCGAGAGGAAACGAGTGTGGCCGAAGGTTGGAGGCAGGGAG